TTTGTCATTTTTATTTAATTTCTTTTATTTTCTTAAATGTGTGTATATATATATAGTATTTATAGAGTTTTAGCTTTTAGTTTTAATTACTTTTTCTTATTTGTAAGTCGCTTTGGATAAAAGCGTCTGCTAAATGACTAAAAGTAAATGACTAAAAGTAAAAGAAGAATGAGAAGTTACAGTACGCATAGATGAAAGAATGAAAGAAATAAGGTATAAGATGCGGAGTAGGACATGTAGAGACATAGAGAGGTAGTGTAATTATTCTGTGTGTGAATAATTAACTGAGGGCCCATAGGGAAATAGTTGAGGGGTGTTTGCGTTTGGCTAACGCTGCTTTTTCCCCACTGCTACTGTCACACTGCCAGAGTAATTTCTCTCTCTCTCTCTCTCTCTCTCTCTCTCTCTCTCTCTCTCTCTCTGTTACTTTCTATGTCCTTCATAAACAGTGTTCTGCAGTCTACCTGCTGAGAATGCTCACATCTCCTTTACGTCTTCCACTTTTGTTTTCACTTGACTTTTCCTATGAAACAGGATTTCGGAGTTCAGAGCTGATCTGCTCTGTTTATTCTTCTTTCATCTGTTCATAGTTGCATCAGTCAGAGTGTGAATTCTCATTATATGGAAGAAAAATATATATTGATTGCTGATTTCTTTATTGAGAGAGAGAGAGAGAGAGAGAGAGAGAGACCACAGTATCAAATTATCGTATCAGATGTTAGAGTGCTGTTTTGTTTCAAAAATTCTTGGATTTTGATGTCAAATTTTACATCACTTTTTCATCATAACTCTCACCTTGAAAATGTATCTGGTAAAAAATTTTTATTTTTTTTTTTTGCTGTTTTTTCTTTTTCAAGGAAAAGTCTTCTTTAGTTTACCTTTAAATTGGAGGTGCCATTTTGATATCACATGACCACCTGGATACTACTGGCTTTTTCTTAGTAACCCCTTCTGTTATTGGATGCATTTTTATTTGTGGAATAAATTCATGATGTCTGACTGTGCGTACAGCATTGACAGAAATCCTGTTCCTGGAGACCTACCTTCCTGCAAAGTTCAGGACCAACCCTGATCAATCGCATAAAGCAAAACTGTGTTTAATGTAGACCACTGGGAGACTGCAGATGGTTGTCATAACATGATATTGATACATGATTACATTATTAATTTAATTAACCCCTTCGGACCCTGCGTCCATTGAAATGGACATCACATGATTTTTTGTTTAAACCAATAAAATTTTATGTTTTCATAATATGAGCAATGCCTGGTCACTGATTGGTCCCTGATCAACCAATCATAATGAAGATATGACTCCTAGCTTAATCTGATTGAGCTACAGGCATCACAAAAGAGAGGCATGACTAGCCAACTAGACAGGAAGAGGAGGAAGCCTAATTTTTACCTTTTATATGCAGATTTATGTTTATGGTAGCCTCATCAACTTGCACCTATTATAAAATTAAGACTATCAAATTATAATATTCAAAGTTATTTTGAAGATCATTCAGAGTTGCAGAACACAGGATTTAAAAAAAAATGCGTCTCTGGTGAAACTGATTGCAGGGATATAACTAAAGACAGGACAAACTAACAAAAACATAAAAACAACTGCGGAGCACGCCACGGAGGCAGCCATCACCGTCGGCGCCATCGTTAGAATCCACATTCCACATTCCACGTTCCACATTCGTACTGCATTGTTCATTCTTATAGTATGTGTTCTTTTCAAAATCTTAAACACTAGTTCAACTATAGTGCACAAGCTCTACTTATTATGTATGGTTAAAATATCGGGATTTTTATTTTTCTTCAGTCCTGGTGTCCATGATAGTGGACATGAAAAAATTAGTTGGCACAAATCTTGTTTTTTAGACTTATTTCTATATTGGAGAAGAGCAAGTATCAAGTGGATAAAAACAATTTTGTTCACTGAAAAAAAATCAGGTCTGAAGGGGTTTTAATAGAAAGTCAGTTAATATAGAGGTTTTTAAGCATTTTTCAAATTATAATTTTAATAGTAATTTCATGCCATAACCCCCCTCAAATTGTATGTCATGTTAACATGGCAAAAATATAACCTCTCCTCAAAATGAGTAATTAATCAATTCTAACATTTATTAGGCCTACTTAAGTAGTCATTTGAGCTGTCACGATATCAGATTTTCACTACACAATTATCATGGCCAAAATAATACACACTAATGATATTAGCGCTATATCTGCAGTTGCAAGAAAAAGTAAGTGAACTATTTTCAATTTCCTGGTTTTCTGCTTAAATTGGTCATGAAATGTGATCTGATCTTCGCCAAAGTCACAAATATCACTGAACACAATATTTCTAAGCTGATAAAACACAAACAGTCATGATCTTTCAGGTCTTTATTGAACACACTCATTAAACATACAAAGTGAT